CACACAAAGATAAAGGTTTTATTCTTAAAAGTAATGCAACAACCCAAATCTTTCTACTTGGCTTTTATAAATTAAGGTGTTTTCTGGGGTATAAATATGAGCCAGTGTCTGAGCAGGCAATGGGAAGACTATAGCTTCATCGCTTCAAGCGATGTACTGGCATTCAGAGATTAAAAACATGGTTTTACAGCACAGTTGTATTTCAGATCCTATCCAACTTGTAATGAATCCCGATTATCATAATACTAGTTACAGCACCTGTGTCAGGCTCAGTTCAACAGCATCGTCGGTGTGTCTGCTGCTCGGAACATGCTGAAGTATTTTGTTGAGTCAGGGCTTTTATATCTTTCTATATTTTCAAGTCAAGCATCTCATTTTAGCTAAGTGTCTTACCAGTACCTTCCACATTCACTTTTGCATATATGCATGGTATAAGTTTGATACTCACTAAAACGGATACCACCTATGGTCAAATTTAATAGCAGTGACATCAAGGCACTGCTCAGCCTTAATAGCAAAATAAACTTTTCTGGCTCTTTAGGGCTGCTGAGAACCTTTTACAACAGAGTGGGATAAGACTCTGTGTGCAGCCTCTTACCTCCAAGTGGTGGGAGAGGATTAATCCATCCATTCTGCATCAAATTCAACTGGAAGGACACGCAAGACCTAGAGAGGCTTTGCTGCTGGACGACATGGTGGAGGCAGGTACCAAAGCCTGTATCTAGAGTCTGTATCAGCTACTGCCACTTTGATTTGAAAATTTTCTCCTTGTCAAGGGCAGAGTCTTTAAATTTATGCTCTGTACAGAGGACTGTGCTGTCCTGTGCAGGTGTCAGTGCTGACATTAGGGTTGGAGATTTCCGTCGTTGCTCAGCAATACATGTTCTGCCGTATCTTTCTGACGCCACCATTAAATTAACAGCTTCCTTTAAATGCGCTGGAGGTTAACAGGATGTCAATAGATAAAACAAATTTTCTTAATGTCAGCATAGAGCCTTTGTTATCCCTATTTGTCACGGTGCCAAACCCAGAAAGGTGTTTCTGCTCACAGGGGATCCCATCCCCAAACCGGTATAACTGGTCAACACCCTTCCACTGATTCCCATAGCTTTGGGGTCAGCCCTTGAGCATGGAACAGTTTGACCCTCCTGGGTAATGTAGAAATCATATTTGGAAAAGCTCTGTGTAGAGATAGTTCAATGGGGTTTTTTCTGATGTTTATAGTTATTGAGCATATTAATTCTGGTAAATATTAAATAGGGTCATCTGGAAAGGCACAAGAACTCTAGCTTTTGTCAACAAACCACTTAAGCGCATGCTTAGAGATAAGCACACATTAAGGTAAATGAAGTTGCTCATAGGCTTGGAGCTGAGCATATGTTTAGGGTTTCTGGACTGGGAGAAACTCATTGCTTGAAATCATCTTATCCTTAATGAGCAGAAATTAGATTCTAGTATGAGAATTAATTTTCATTAAACAAAAAACTAAAAACTACTGAAGGGTAAAAAAGTCAGGATGAAAAAGGAAATGATCTAATTTGAATGCCATAAAATGGAAAGAACATCATTTCAAGAAACATTCCTAAATTTCTTTCTCATTTTCAATCTGCTTAAAAACTTATGCAGGTCCACAGATTGCCTGGCAGGGTTGACTCAGTGCCTTGGGGAGCAGATGGCCATGCTTGAGGTCTCCGGTACTGCTGGTGAGTGCCATGCAAAGGTCCACCAGCCCAGGGGAGGACCACGCTGGAGCAGGAGGTAGCAAGGGCTCTCCCCTTGCCGAACTGGCTGGAACAAGGTAAAAATAAGGTTAAAACTACTCCATGTGGATCCTTAGAGCAATGCCATTCATTGGGAAGCAACAATCTCTGTGTTGTGAGCAGTTACTGCATGTGCACTTCAAAAAAAAAATCTTAGTTGAAGCTTAAAATATCCAAATTTAGAACTACAGACCTCCTTTGGATGTCACAGAACAGTGTTTGGAGAGATAACTTACATTAAAGCGTATCTGACCTTCTCCGGCCAGGAATACTGCATGAGTGTGCAAAAACTGATAGGAAGAGAACTTCGGTGTTAGCCTATATGCCTTTGTCCCAAAAGGGACGATAAATAAAATGGTAAGAAACATTCCGAATCCTACTTTCCCTTGAAACAGCATTGAAATTTTGCTGCTGTGCTGAAGTGTATCAGCGTCAAAACAGAGGGAAGATTTTTCCAGAGAAGTCCAGTACAAGCTGAGAATTCCCACTGGGCTCAGCGGGAAGCTCTCTAATCCTGGCCCTTCGTCTGGCAAGGGTTTGACTTTTTCATAGGGTGGGGTGTCCCCAGCTGGGGGGGACGGGCGGTGCATGCTGGCATTTCCCCATCAAGCACAATTGGCCTAAAGAGAGGGGAAAATAAATTATTATCACATCTTGGATGTGAATTCGTTTTAACATTAAAAATGGATAAGCTGTGCTCTTGAGAGGAAGGCAGAGGAGGGAAGGGAAGCCGGGGAAGGGCTGACCTTGTGATGGGTCAAGAAGCACTCCTGTTAATAGCAATCTGCAGCATCAGGCTTTTAACCAACTCATTAAAAGCTTGATTTGTGCTGTGCCTGACGGAGTGCCTCCTGTTTACCTACCCATGGTGATGGAGGAAAGGGCCTGCCCTGCTCCCACATGCGAGAGAGGATTTATATGGCTAGAGCTGAAACGTTTGGCAAGTGAGTGCATGAAATTTAAGGTTACCTGTAGGCAGCTGTTGCTCATCCTGTGGGTGTTTTATATGGCTATTTAATTGCGTGTTGCTCAGTACTAAATGAGTATGACTTACGTGAATAACCACTGCGACGCAAATGCTGCTGCCTCTGAGATAAAGGACCTTATTTGAGAAACAAATGCTTAACTAATATCATAGGCTTCGTGCACATTTAAGTCTGTACTTTATCTCTGAAAAGGAAAGAAATGATCTAGTTCTTAAAACCCAAAAGCATTTTAAGGACTTTTTTCCCCCCTTTTCTATTCTTTTCCCAGGTTGCAAAAATAACATCCAATAATGAAATGAAAACAAGCTGAATAGTTACATTCGGTGGAGGAGGGAAGAGGTAGTCGCAGACAGCTGGAGCATGTCTGGGCCAGTGTCTCAGTTCTTTTCTTCCTGCTAGTTTAATGCCACTCCAAGAATGCAGACAATGCTGGCTATGACTGTTTCATATTTGATTTCCACACTTAAATCTGTGCTTGTTAAATGAAACCCCATTGTCAGGTTGGCATGCATCCATGATCCTTCCTCATGTCCTGCTTCAGAGCTTGCTGTCTGTGTTTGGGTGCCTGGCTCGTATCCCTTCAGTGAGGATCAGGTATGCAAAGAGCATTTTGATGTGTTGTTTTTTTTTTTTGTGCTGCTTGCGGCATTGCAACAAAAGCTTTTGGATATTTCTTGCAACAGCATCCATGGATAACCCTCATAAATCTTGGTCTGAGGGCAGGCAGAAGTGCTGCAGGGAAGGGATGGGGTTTTGGAACAGCCTCAAGAGCGGTGGGTCAATTGGGCACTCGGCTGGAGCCGGTCTCTGGGCAAGTTATCGGCTGTGCCACCCGTGGGAGAAAATGCTTGGGCAAGCAGAGCCTGGTTCTGCAAAGGGCTGGTGTCCTGCCCTGCTCGAGGAGGGGATGCATCTGGGGATGCTTTTGGTCTTGGTGGGGCCCTTTGCGTGCTTTGGGCTGGGACCAGAGGGGTCAGCAGGGTTTTTTTTGATGAAGGGACACAGGAGAAATGCTGTGTATTGGAAGCAAAGCAGTGACTGAATAACGAAGGATCATTTAATATCCTCTGTAAAATACCAGGGAGGGCATGAAAATTATGAGTCTTTTATTAATAAGCCTTAGAGATTACAAAATCCAACGGCTGTCCAGTCCTTTAGACTGCAGACCCTCTTAGCCTTTCTCCCCTCCACCCCCATAAACTGGTACCATGGTCTGATACCTGCTCGTACATCACTTGTGCAGTGTGACTTATCATTCAGTGAATGCCGGTCGTGCCAAAGCAGACAGAGCTCTGCTCAAAATAGTTTGTAGTCTACTTCAGCACAAGAGGAGGGAGAGGGGAGGTAGGATGGGGCTGTGATACCATGGGGGGTGATGCTGGAGCAGGAGAAAGCACTGACCATGTTTTGGTTCTTCAGATGCCCCGGAGGAGTCCACTGCTGGCCTGTTGTCATGGAAACACCATTATTTTCAGGGATTCAAGACTGCCTCCAAACAAAGGTTAAAGGGAAGAAAAAAACCAAAGGGATCAGATGCACCCGAGACTTTCCTCAGCACGACAAGATTTGTGAATGTCTGAACCACCAGCGAGTCCTCCAAGGCAAGTGGGCTGGAGGTACGTCGGGGCTGGAAATCGATGCTGTGCTTGATGTGAGAGCTGCTCCGGAGCGTGGTGCTTGGGCTCGGGATCTGCTCCAGACCACCCAAAGGCCTATTCCTCCTCCTGCCCTCACCTCTCGTCCTCCCATGCTGTCGAGGTGCTGCTGCCCAAGGCTCTGCCTGGAGCAGAGATGATACGTGTGGGATGGTGGTTATTTTTCACGCCTTTTTTGCTGTCTGGGTAACAGATCTGTGTTTTAATGGCTGTGTGCATTAATGGTAGCGCAGCCTTCACAGGCATAAGGAAGAGCAGAAAGGCAAATCTTCAGGTTGTACTTTCTGTAAAAGTCAAAAGCAAACTGTGTAATTTCCATAAAATTTTGCCCAGCCTTTAAATTCAGAGGCCCAGGCTATGTATGCTAAAGGTGCATCCCTTTAGTTGACCCAGCACTGGGATGTAATGGGTATGAAGGGCCAAATTACTGATTCATGAAGTGATTTAATGGAATGATGTGCAGGTTTCAGGGACACTACTGATCCTGATGTGAGTGCATTCAGGATCTGCCTGTCCTTGCACAGCCGTACCACCCTCCTGGCTGCTCTTAACAGCATTACAGGTGACAATCCACTTTCCCCACCATGACCAATGCTCACGTTTAAATGTCCAAACTGGAGCAGTCTCACAAAAGTCATCACAAAAACCCAAAGATGCACAGAATATGGCCAAACTCAAGCACAGATCCAGTATTTGCAGGGTGAGGTGGCACCGCTCACAACGTGATGGGTCTTTGTGGAGGTTTGGGAAGTCAGCATGGGGAAAGGGCAACAGGGCTGTGTAACCCAGGGAGTCGGTCCCAGTGATCCCAGCAAGTGAGCCGTAGCAGTATGGGCCACGGAGAAGAGATGCAATGACAGCAGCAAATTGCACTGAGGTGCCCGTGATGCTCAGTATGCCAAAGGTGAAACTAGCCTCCCGCTGAAATGGAGACAAAAGCATTTTATCACTTTTCTGACCTGCTGAGAGATTTTTGTTTTTTAAAAAAACTTCAAAACTAAAGAGCTCAGTATTGTTGTATTTCTTCATTTCCAACTTGGAAAAAAAAAAAACCACAAACCTGTTTTTATATTCAATCTCCTTTATTCGGTATCCAAAAAGGATGTGATAGTAAAGAAAAAATTAGTAGCTTGAATGTCATGAACTTGTTAAAAAAAATACAGATTTTTTTTTACATGGAAGACAGTCATTGAAACCATATTTTACTAAAAATACTAGAAGAAGAAATTGGAACAGGTATACTTATGCAGTTTGTCATATAGCATGTAAGTACAGTGGGTGGCCTTTACATTTCAAAACTGCATACTTGAATACTAACAAAGTTCCTCATTATAAAACAGAAAATGTGATAGGAACTGGCAGAACTACTGTGCTGGTGGGATATTTAATGTGCACCCTTTAAGCCCTGCAGAGCACATTTAATCCACAATATTAACAAGAAAAACGCTTTCCCCTTTCAGTGCATCGTCCAGACTAACTCTGCTGCTCCCTCACTGCCTCCTGCGTGTGACGCCATACGGACTTCTGTCACCCCGACCGATGGCACCTTGCGCTGAGTTACCACCGACCCCTGCCCTCAGCAACTCCATGCAGCAGGGTCTCGGTGTGGTTGAGCTCAGCTCTGGGGTAGGTGGGTGAAAAGCTTTGCTGCTCGAGCCGGTGCAGGCTGTCTCATCGCTTGGTACTCTTCCCTCGACGCCCGCTCCCCGACCTTTGCACCTCCTTGTCCTGGCGCGTCCCTGCCCCGGAGGGGTTTGCGATGGAGCCAGCTCCATCCTTTGTGCCAGCTGAGAGGCATTTCCATGCTGGGGGAAGCCTTAGAAGAGCTTTTAGGAATAATTTAAATTTCCTTTGATCCAACAACTTTGCAGGTAAAGAACTAGTGCTGTTAGAGCAAGCAATAACTAGCTGCTGCGCTTGAGCATCTTGGAGAGCGGAATGGGCTCTTCTCCTCTACCAGGCTGGAATAACTACTCCATGGTTCTCCCTGGTCCAGTGCACAGAGGCTTTAAAAGGGGTCGGATCGTGCACAGCAGGGCCCTGCTGGTGTGCACTCAAGGCCAGTTGGGAGTATCCTGGAAGAAAAGCTAAAACTTACCTTTTGTGGAATCGGGCATAACATCCCATCCTTTTTGTGCGCAGCATGGCCACAGACGATGTTTATTGTTTGTTGCCAAAAGGCCAATGAAAACCGTTCTGCACATCTCCTGTGTTTGCTATTTGCGTGCTCCTGAGGTACCTGGGGGCACTTGGAAGGATTTGGGGACACCAACCCAGCCACCGCGCTGGCACTGACCACCCATGCACAGCGACTTTAACCCGGATTCTCACGCTGACAAATGGGAGGAGGGAAGAAACCCAGGACACCATGAATGAGAGTGCCTGAAGGAAACCCCAGGCGGTGCAGGAAGGAAGGTTATTCAGGTTATTTCAATGTCTGCTTCATGCTGCTTTTGTCACTCTGGACAAGGAATGAGTTTGGGTTTGGTTATTTTTCCGAAGTGCTGTCAAAGGCACAGCAGACACTTGTGTTATTCACCAGGTCCCCATCAGGGCAGGGTACATTTTGTCCCTGCCCTTATTTCAGAACCAGTTCTGACTGCAGAGAGTATCTGTGCTGATGATGGGGAGCTGACATACACAAGCACATTTTCATTCATTTAAATGCACCAGCAGTGACTTTGGCTTGCAGTGAGTAATCTTTTTTTTTTTCCAGTGTAAGCATCTTGGACCCACATGTATCTTTGTTCCTAGCTTCAGGCTGGTGAATGGAAAGAAGAGCTGAAGATGTGCTGAAGATGAGTGTCTGTGTCCGAGAACACAGAAGACAGCACGATCTGGGCTGTAATTTCTGGTGCAACACAAGAGACTATCAACACCGATCCAGAAGCTTGAGCAATATTGTCCTGAGGTTTGATTTCTATTCTGGCAGGCTAAATGCAGTAAGTCCCAGGTTTTTCAGGGCACTTACCATTATTGATTTAGGGAATTTGAAAAATACTTGTCTTGAGGCTGAGCCTGAAGTTATAACCTTGGCATATCCATACCATAAAATTCCCGTGGATAAAAGCAGAAACATCTGGATTCATGACTGGATGTTGGCTAAATCCACCAGGAAAAAAAAAGGCTTCAAGGGATCCTAGAAGGTTCTAGCCAGAATAAATAATGCAACAAAATAAGAGTGCTATTAAGAGTAATTGTAATACTGAAGCTGAATTATAAGATGAGGGCCAAGCCCTTTTCACAATCTGCTTTTCCAGCTAAGAGCTCTTCAATTTACACTTAACGTACATGTGGCTGATGGAACAAAGAAAAAATTGAAGAAGGATGAAAGCAGCGCAGAGATTATTCAGCCTTGCTGGTTTAGTTCCAGGCACATCGTTTAAATGAGTAGATGATTAGTTTCCAGTTTGTTTTAAATTCTCTGGCAAGAAATTTTATGCTCTATCCCAAAGTTGGATGTGCTTAAAACTTTTTTTTTAAGGCTTTGCCATGTTGTTTTATTTCTTTTTCTGCAGGAGACACCTGAGTGCTGGGGCTGGAGGGGGAGCCTGGCTGTGTCACTGAGGGGGCCGTGTCCCTGCTCCCAACCCATGGGGACCCTGGGACTGAGGAACAGTTGCTCCTTTTCTCCCTCACCTCTGGGAGGCTGAGCCCTGCCTTGCTGAGCCAGATGCTGTACCCAAGCTCCAGCACCCAAAGTCAAGGGAAGTGGCCAAAACTGCTGCGTCCCACACACTTGCAGCCTCTTTGGTTGCACCCTGTTGTACCAGCACTGCTTGCCTGGATTAAAACTAGAGAAAGGGGATAGGTTTGTATTGCTTCCCTTTGAATCTCCTCTGGGTGTTTTGAGGGTTAAGAGCTGCTGAACAGCACGTCCTCTGGCCACCCAGCCCCTCCTGCCTGGGTCTCCTCCATGTGCCTTGCGCCAGGTCTCCAAAGCTGCCAGGAGCACCAAGCTGTGTGGCGTGTCTTCCCCTGCTGTGACGCGGTGAACTGCACCCACGGCCAGGTAATCAAAAAGTAAGTTGTATGTTGCTGAAAATGCCCTTAACACACTGTCCCTCCCCAACCAACGTAGTCAGCATTTCTCATTACCTGTACTTTGTCCGTGCAGATCTGCCTTACCAACCCTCACTGACCTTGCACGTCGCCCTTCCCTGTTCCCGTAAAGCCTTGGGCATTTGCCTGCTTTGTAATCTTCAGCCAATGCGGCTTGGGGAGAGTTGCTTCCTCATGGAATAAAAACCCTTGTCCTGTCCTTCTTTGTTGCCCTCTTCCCTATTGTCCACACCACAGCCAACTGGTTGAAGAGCTCTAGAGGGAGCTGATCTGTTGGTACCACTCTAGTAGGTCCTCCTCCATGGAGAGACTTTAGGTTGTCCTCCATGGAGATGCTCCCTGTGATGTACTGTCAATGCCTAATGCTGTCTGAAGACTGCCACTATGTTCTGAGTGGTGGGATACATGTTTCGGGCAAGGCAATACTTGAAGTATGACTGGAAATACCAACAATACACAAACGGTGATGTTTACGCTGCCTTTTGTTCCACACAAGGAATAATCATGTTTATAATGTAAGGAGTGGGAGTTTAATTGGCCTTAAAATAACCTCAACACAGGTAGGAAATCCATAAAAAGGATGCCCCAGTATTTCTTAGGATGTTATTTTCAGCAGATCTTGTTATTTAATTTGCTGCCAACACCTGTCATCTCCTCCACTGTGTGTTGCCCGGCACCCACAGCCCGGGTCTGAACTGAAAGCTGACAGGACCTAATGCAAAAAAATTCAGAGTACCGCTTTCCATTAGCGTAGCATCTTGACCGTCAAAGTGAAATGGGGAAACGCATCTGCTCATAGATGTTACAAAATATTTGTTTTAGATTAGCTGCTATCACTGCCACTGTCCACATTTGCAGGCGTGTTCTTCCACCCAACTTGAAGGCATTAGGAAGATCTGCTAAAACCGCAGGGCTCTCGGTTAGGAACAACTAGTTTGAGAAGCTGAAGAATGAGAGATGAAACAGAGCTAAATTTAGAATCGCAGATAAGAAAATATCTGTATCTTCAGTGCTCTGTGGTTTTGTTTTGCTCTACACAAAGCACACCTTGGTTTTGCATGGCTGTTTGCAGATTGCACTGACTCAAAGAAGGCTTGTGGGGGGGAAAAAAAGGCTTTGATGTCTTCAGTAAACAAATAGCAGTGTTAAAAGATCTTCAGTTCTTGTTAGCATGCTGCAAACAGCTATGTTTGAAGAAAAATAAACATCCCGAGGTTGATGGAAGGGTAGGAAAGCCATAAAGTCCTGTAGACAAATCCTTGGTATGAGGACATCAGAAATGACAGTGCCATGAAAAAAACCCTTTTTCTCTCTTCTGGATTAGAAAGAAAAGAACAAACTGGTTCATGGTTTACCAGCCACGTGGTGGGAATACACGGGTATAAAACCTCATGGCTAAGTCGTTCCCATCCAAATCACAAGAACACAAAGTCCACTGGAAAAGCAGGTGTAGCGGTCCCCTGGAGATCTTCCCCTCCAACCATTGGGGTGAGGGGGAGAAAACTCACCCTTCCTCCAACCTCCATTTTGACTCGGCCTCCTCAGTGCTTCACCGGCTGCAATGGGGCCACCAGCACCTCTTAACCCTTGCAGCTACAGGACCTCATCCCAAAAAACCTCATTGACTTTTACGTCATCCAACCAGCCCGTTTCCGTGAGGCCTCGTGCCTACCTGAGCTTTTACTCTGTAAAGCTTGTTGTATTTGTCTTATTGCATCCCTTACAACATCCCTTTGGAAATGCAAAAACTTAGGAAATGAACCAAAGAGAAGAGCTAAACAATGATCTTAATTAGACTGGCATAACCCTGGGGTGTTAATTTACATTTATACCCTTTTAACAATCCAAATCAGGTTCATGATAGGAAAGTTTGGGTTTTTTCTGTAAAGGGAAATTAAAAATTGTCAGGTCATAATAATCAATATACCAATATTTACTGCAAATTTAAATCTTATCAGGAACCTCTCACTTTATTTTACTGTTTACTATTGACTATTCATGTAATTCTAAGCACTTCTCTGTTTAAAGATAGTTCACAGGAGCTAGGAAATAAATAATTCAGACATAGTTGACTTTTTATAGTCTCTGTAGCATCGCTAACATCTTTCCTTTGATAACGCTTTTGTTCTGCCTACCAAAGCTCTGTTCCAAATGGGGTTGGTGAGGCAAGCACTCCATCCAAAGAACCAGGGCTTATAAAAAAAAAAAAAAACCAAAACAACAGGGAAAAACAAAAAATTCCAGAAAAAAACACTTAAAATCCCAAAGGTAATAACTATCCTTCTGGCAACTTCATACAAGATCTTCACTTTCATTGTGAGCCTCTCCCTGCTGGATTTGCAACGAGGGTTTGTAGCTAAAGCCGAGGCAGAGATGGTTCATAATAAACAGAAGCTCCTTAGAGACCGTAGCCATGGCATGTGAGAGCTGTTTACCTGGCACGATGAAGCACTATTCTGTTTATCTTCAGACGTTCCTACAGAAACAGAAGGTATTACAGTGTGGTAAATAAGGCCCCTTTACCTCCAGGAATATGTTTGTGGTTTGTTTTTTTTTTTTTTCCCCAGACTCGTTACCCTTTACTTTCAGCTACAGAAAGCCCATCCTGTGATTTCTGAATTACTCCTTCATCCTCCTTCCCAGGAGGACAGACCGCTTCCCAGTGCAGAGAGAGCCAGAAACGTGCTGACAGCAGTGGGGTGGTTGTTTCCGACGCTGATGCCCATCGCCGGAGCATCGAACCAGCCCCCTCAGTGCCAGCAGCCTCTGCAGGGCAGGGATGCATCCTCCAGAGTCGGACCACCTTCTCCCCAGGGAGCATCACTGTTGATGTCACGTCTTTGTGACAAGGAAATTTAGAAGGAATAGGCTTTAGCTTGTAATTGGAAATCAAGTGAATCGCACAGCTCATGCTGCTGGTGCCTTTGATTGCCCCAAATGTGAAAGATAAGGGCATTGAGAGCTTTGAGAGGTGCTTTGGAGGCTGGAGGTCGCTCCTAGGATCTGTTCCTGGGCACCGGGGAGGGGAAAGGCCTTTGATTTCAAAGGGATCAAGGCTCAGTGCCTCCCACTGCTCATCAGACTGGAGCCCTGTTTCTCCCTACCTGCCACAGCAAATATTTTGATTGCAAGAGCCAAAGCAATTGTGTTGTGTACTTTATCATATGCAATCCCCGAGGCATGCTGCTGATAACCATCAAACTCATTTCAGACCTGCAGCCCCCTCGCTGGAGTGCTGCCACCGGCCGGGGTGGCATTGGGTACCGCCACGTGCCCCAGGGCACATCCCAGTCCTCCTAAAGGAGACTTGAATGGGATGCTCACTCTTCAGGGTAAGCCAGCTTGCACAGCGGTGGGTCCTTGCGATGATAATGTCCTCCCCACACGGTGGGGGAAAGCAGAGCAGCAAATTTTACAAGTGGTAATTTTACCATTAAACTTACGCCTCTGAAGATCCTCTAATCCCCAATTCACCTCATCGGGCACAATTCCGCACTGAACTGATTTATGGCATAGCGCAGCGGGCTGCGTGGAGCGTGTTTATTCAAATAACAGCAGCCCTCTTCACCAAACACTATTCCACTTCTAGTTTAATTAAAAAAAAAATTAGCAGGGCTTGCAATTTTCTTAAATGTGCCCAGTCTTCAATGAAATTAATATTAATCGCTGTTCAATGTGCAAGTCAGTAAAGTGACACGTGGAAAACTACACGTTCTTGACTCAGGAATGCAACTCGGAGGATGACTTCATGTTCCTGAATGAGATCGGCATGCCAGATGTGCCTAGTGCCTGACCCCTTTCAAGGCTCTGAGAGATCACACGTAACTTTAAAATGTCATTTCACGCATGCAGAAGGAAGAAGGAGAGCCTGATAGCTTTGTGTTACTTAGCTTCCCATTTAATTTGGTTAGGGCGGTGTGAATGGCTTAATAACATGAAGCAGAGCTCTGATCTCTGTTCTGGCTGCGTGTTTCCAACAGACACCCTAATGCCTTTCTCATGGCCAGAGCAGTTAACAATCTGTATTTTCTTGCTATTAATTAGAAGTTGTATTTCTTTTCCTGATGAAGAGCGAGCCTCACAGTGTAGCTGACAAGTTTGCAGTCCTCGCTTTCAGTCGTGCATTGAATTTTACTGAATTGTTTTGTCTGGAGACAAAAGCAATAAATGTGAGTATAGAATTAATACATTTTTAAAATTGTAATTGTATTTTTAAGTCACAAAAATCAGGTGGTAGTCAGTCTTTCCTGCTGTTGACCCTTTTCTCTGCTACAGACTTGAATCTCCTTTCTTTTTCCTTGCCCAACTGCTCGCTCCCAAAATCCTGCTG